CAGACTGCCTTAGCAACGTCACTCGTTCATTACAGACTGTGACAGATCTTATTGATATACGAACATAGACTGTACGTCGATAATGTCTCCTTGTAATATATGAACTGATTCCTTGCCGTATTTTTGGAAGATTAAGTGAAAGGATGGTGAAGAGATGCGTCCCAAAGGATACAGAATACAGCAATCTTCCTATGATTAACAACAGCAACTAGACCGTGTTTCATAAATTTTATAGAAGTTTTTCTCTAATAAGCTAGAAGTTTTGCTTTAAAAATGAGTGAAAACTCGTGTTTTTCGAAAATTACAGTGGAAGTTCACAAGGATAAAAAATTGAGTAGTTTGTTCCTTTTTCTGTACAAAATCAGTGTAAAAACTGTTGTCTGTATGCTTTGATATCATCCAAGACAGTTCCACTATTGTTTCAATAAATGAAACACATTAATCATATGCTGTTCTTTCCTCCACTTCTATTAGCTTTGACAACTTAAATCACTATTGATATTGAAAAGAATATTTCATTTTTGTTTCTGTTATTAATGTTAAAGGCTCGAATTCAAATTATTGGTCTTCGGGTTCCATCATTAACGAAATGTGCATAATGAATTTTGATCATGATTGCTGAGATTTTTGGTTATTATGAAAAGCTACTGGATAATTGTTAATTTTTGAATCCAATTGTTACGAAATAGGTAACAGAAGCTGAAAAAACTTATACTTAATACTCCTGCACGCGATCTTTTTGCGAAAAATCAATATCTATTCTACAAAATATAGAGTTAAATTAGAAATATTATCATGTTTTTTATGTCAAATAGTGATACTTGGTTGAAATTCATACTCTTAGATAAATATTATAAAACGTGACTCTATTAATAATAATAATACAATGTTTTTAATCATAACTCTATCGTTTGAACTCTTCAGAAAGCTAACTATGCTTTTCTAATATAAAGATTTCACGTATTTTAAATGAATATTTTCAACTAACTTTTCTTTTAAGACTTATCCAATGAAACTATTGCTTTATATCTATGAAAAAAATTTAAAAGTGAAGATTTTTCAGTAGAAATAATGCTATGAATATTATTCTACTCTAAGTTCGAAGTTATTTCTAATTTCAAAAAGTTGATTTTATTTTCTCATTAACTTTATGGATAATTATAGATTGGTGAATATGTCCTTTTTTATTTCTCGATCAAAACCTACACTCTAAATAAAAATCGTTTTCTTGGAAACTCAGGAAAATAGGTTTCTGAGCGTACAGAGACCCACATAGGTTTCCAGACTGATTCTGGAAACCTGAATACGTATCCGAACTGATCTCGGATGCCTTTAAAAGTTTCTTGGAAGGAAAAAATGGGTTTCCGACTTTCGGAAACCTAAAAAGCGTTTCATATAGTGACAAACCTGGAAACGCTAAAAGGTTTTCGGAAAAATGATAGGATTTTTGGAAACGGATCACTTTTTTCGGAAGCCTTTTAGCGTTTCCAGATTTTGTCACTATATGAAACGCTTTTAAGGTTTTCGAAAGTCGGAAACCCATTTTTTCCTTCCAAGAAACTTTTAAAGGTATCCGAGAAAAGTTCGGACACGTATTCAGGTTTCCAGAATCAGTCTGGAAACCTATTTGGGTCTCTGTACGCTCAGAAACCCATTTTCCTGAGTTTCCAAGAAAACGATTTTTATTTAGAGTGTATGTGTACCTGTTTCTTTAGTATAAACCCAATTGTCAATGTTTTATTATATCAAACATGCAAAATGCATTTTGATTGTTCATCGTATGAGGGTTTTGACTCAGCACTACATTGGTCATACACTACTTCTTTCATCATTTTTCAATACAAAAGAAAGAAAGCTTCTTTTTGATGTACGTCTAGATAGAATTATATTTACCTGAACATGTAATTTAGTACCACTATGTTCAATCATTTTTAAATTGACTCTTGCAAATGGCAATTGATAATGTCCAACACTAAGAACAATACCTAGACCATGAAAATATTCGTTTGGATAAAGTATCATTTGTTGACGAAGTGTTATAAGTAATTTAGATATAGGAAGAAAATGATGTTCTCCTTGTGTATTTAATGAACTTGTTGTATTACATTTACTTGGTGCATTATCATACATCCGCGAGTAACTCGCTAAATGTTCATTAATTAGTTCATCTCTGAACAATGCATTGCTTAATCGTAACACTGATGAATCAACAAATAAAGATAGAAAAAAGTGGTTTTGTGGTTTCAATATCATATATGTAATGATAAGAAAAAGAGATATTGCATGTAAGCAAAAAATCCCTTTGATATATTTTCGACGTTTATATATATTTGGTAATAGGAACATAACTATAAATCAGTTAAATAATTTATTATATTAACTTGACGAAAACTATATTTATAACAATATCTAATTAAAATAAGATGTCGATCCAATAATCTAATATAATTTAGAGAAAAAAAAATAAAGAATCAATACAATTCTAATAAAAATGATCATTTAATAAAAAACAACATTTAATCAATTTGATATTATTATCGTTCATAAATAAAAAGAAACCAATGTATGATCAATCAGGATTTGCAAATAAATTTTTACCTTAATTATGTATGAAAACTTATCATATAAATACCTATCTTATCTTCGAATAAAATATATAGCGCTGTGCAAAAAAATTACATTCACAATAAGGTGTACACACATCATTGGCAACTTGTGATTCGCTTTTCTATTGTATTTTTCTTACACTGACTTGATTTATTTGCCTACGTAATTCGGTTGAATGAATCGAGATTGAGGGTAAACGAAGCAAGCAAAAATTTGCTTGCTATGAGTATAACAAATAATATACACGATGCGTTCAAAAAGTTCCCGAACTGGTTTTTTACGACATAATGAGAAGCGCTATTGTTCTTAGATTTTAGTCTGTGTAGCTGCAACAGAGCTCCATCTATAGATATCATAATCATTAACCCATGAAATACCTATGCGCGAATATAACGATTTTTATTAGATCACCCTTTATATACTGATGGAAAATCACAAGCTTGAGCATCGCTCAGTTGTAAAGTTTCTTGTTTTAGAAGGTCAATCTCCATCCAATATTTATCAACGTATGGTAGTAGTTTATAGTGACCATGCTCCATCACGTGCCACGGTTTTCGAATGGATTCAGCATTTTAAACATGGAAAATTAAACATTGAAGATAGTCCTAGAAGTGGACGACCAATTACTGCAACGAATGATCAAACTATTAAAGTTGTTGAAAACCTAATCATCGAAGACTGTCGAATTACCCTTCAGCGAATAGCAGACACACCTTAAGCATTTCAACTGGCACGGTATATGATATTTTACATGATCAATTACATATGACTAAAGTTTGTTCAAGATGGGTGCCATATTTACTAACATCTGATCAAAGGCATGAACGTGTTCAAGCGTGTGAAGAACTTTGGGCTCCCTATTCAATTGAAGACAACGACTTTCTTTTTCGAATTATAACTGGTGATGAGTCATGGATGTATTTTTATCAACCTGAATCAAAACAATCATCAAAGCAATGGACACGAGCTGATTCACCACCACCAACAAAACTCAAACAAGAAATGTCAGCTAATAAAGTTTTATATTCATTTTTCTGGTATCACAAAGGAATAATTCTCAAGAAACCTACACCAGCGGGTGTAACAATTACGAAGACATATTATGCTAATATTTTGGAAAATGAACTTCATCCAGAAGTTAAAAAACAACGGCGAGGCTTAATTTCAACTGGTGTTATCCTTCAATATGACAATGCACCGGCACACACGTCACATCTTGTTTTTTCTACTATTCATAAATTAAAATATGAATTGTTTCGTCATGCATCTTATTCTCCAGATCTGGCCAACACTGATTATTTTCTGTTTCCTGTTTTAAAAGATCATCTCAAAGAAAGACACTACAATGATTGAAGTTCATTTGGTTCAACAATACATCAGTGGTTGAACAGTGTGCCTAAAGATGACTTTACAGCAGTGGCGGATTTAGGGGGAATGCGACGAAGCGATCGCATTCCCCTTCGAGAAAATTTTTCCGATTTTTTCCAGCAAAGACGAACGAAAAACAAGTTCATACTACCTCAAATGCACCTGAAAATGTGTTTTTTGCCTATGATCGCATCCCCTTCGGGAAATCGCACTCCCCTTCCAAAATTCTGGATCCGCCACTGCTTTACAGCAGCTATACAAAAACTTCCAGAACGTTGGTAAAGGTGTATTTCAGTAGAGGAACGATACTTCGAAAAAGAGCAGATATATAAATAATTGTAACGTGTTTTGTTGATTTTTAATAAAACCAGTCTGGGAACTTTTTGAACGCACCGTGTATTAAAGTAAAACAAAAACTAATATATTGATTTGAAACATGTCACTCGAACTTGGTAGTTGAATTAAAAATATCTATTAGGATTTCTAGCTAATAGATTATTCAAATATTACGAATCAGATAATAGTATGTTTTGCTCATTGGTTCATGGCAGAACGAGAAAGAACATGAAAATATGATATAGATTGAATATTGTTGCAGTCATTTTTTATAGACACAATCTTAGAATATGCAACTAATATTTGATATAATTTTTTAACGGGTTTAGGACAGTTGCTCGCGGACACTTGCTCGCTATAAGTTACATAGGGTTCTATAGCGAGCAACTGTCCTAAACCCAGTTTTCTAAAAATAAAATCGGTACATCCTGTTTTTGTAGTAATCGTAATATTGTCATCATCTCGTGAGGAACGACTTCAACTTCAATCCAATGTTTTATTTTTAAATAAAATAAACAATTTCATTCAAAATATTTCGAAGAAAAGTTGTGTCTTGACCTGTTATTCATTATTTTCTGATATATTATAAATTCAATCTCATAAGTGAGACTATTGGGTTTCGTTGTACTGACACAAATTCAGCTAAAAGTTTTCAAGTTGAATGAATTTGTGTTAAAATAGAATCTCTGTAAATCTATCCTCTTATCAGTCAACTTGGTGACCGATTACTTCGTCGCACGACACTTCGTCGCAATCACTTCGTCGCAATCACTTCGTCGCGATCATTTCGTCGCACAATCACTTCGTCGCAATCACTTCGTCGCAATCACTTCGTCGCGATCATTTCGTCGCACAATCACTTCGTCGCAATCACTTCGTCGCAATCACTTCGTCGCAGAGCAATTTCTTTCGTTCTGTTCGTCGCAGAATAATCTTTTTCATTCTCCTCGTCACTATCTATTCTTGACATATCACTTAATTCATTTTTCTTTTTTTTCAAAGATATGAAACTGATCAATCAATTTTTCTTTATTTTGTGCATTATAAATGAGAAAAGCATGAAAAATTTGAGTATAAAAAAAAGAAAAAGAAACAGAGGGAAAAGCAGGTTGTGGGATCTAAAATGTATCGAAATCCTTTGAAATCTCTTGACATATTTTCAAAATTATTTTGAATATGATTACACGATCAGAAATTCTTTAAAT